CCTAGTGCCCAGATAGGCAATTTAACTCATAATGTTTTGATGACCCCTATCAAACTAAATTACAGATTAACTGAAGGAATATCATTCCAGCCCATTTTAAACCCTGATCCTAACTTATAACTAGGTGTTAACACAATAAATATATCAAAGTACGTTTTGTCAAGTTGGTAGGTTCCAGCTGATCCATCACGGGTTCCGGATTAACCATGTTTGCCATAACTGGCTCTCCAGCTTGATGCTCTGTATAGTGAAACTGATGTTCAGGAATGACGTCTGAATATTGAGCCTGGAGAGCTTGAAACTGCTGGGCAGACCGAACCCTGAGGTGGAGGAAATTTAGAAAAACAAAACAAAAGCACAAAATGGGTAAGTATTTTTACAACAATCAAGTTGGCTGTGTGAGATGCACTGTGGAGTTAAAACAGATGTTAGCTGGATTACATAAACTATGTGCTTTTTGTTTAGGTCTTTTTGTATTTAGCTGAGTGGTGATAAAAGAGCAAACACATTGATTTTAATCATCTAATTACTAGAGATGGCACGATACCACTTTTTTATGTCCGATACCGATATCATAAATTTGGATATCTGCCGATACCGATATGAATCCGATATAGTGTTTTTTAATCAATAAAACTGTTTTTTTAATATCTTGCTGCATTTTGTATAAGTTCATACTCAAGTTTAAATAAACAACAACACTAAAGCTATTCTGTTATACCTGTATGTAAAAAATACACTGCACCCAAAATATTTCATAGTTCAGCAATACTGATCAATCTAATAAACTTAAACCTGCACCATCCTCCCTATTCTGGTATTTTAAAGAGTACTTAGCAGAAATATTAAGCAACCTAACTAATAGGGTTGCAAACTCCCAGCAAAAAAAAATAGGGAACCACCCCCACCCTCCACCTCATGATGCTTAATCGACGTAATCAACTTTAATTTGATGCAGTGTGAAAAAAAATGCACAGAAATAAATTATTTTTCAAGAATAATTAAATAGATTCAACATCTTTCTTCAACAGAATTGCAGACTGCACAGATGGTATCTTCCCAAAGGAAAAAGTACTATAGCTTACTAGGGTATATTAGACTTAACAGTTACTATATACAGTAATGGACTTCTATACATTTTACATCAGATTAAAACTTTGGGTGTAAGATTCAGATAATTATTTATTAAAAGCTAGACATTTTAAATGAGAATAAGAAAGAAAAGTATGTCTTTGTGCCCCCTTTTCCCTGTTAATGCCCTATCGGCCCCCCTGGCTAAACTTTGCTAGATCCGCCCCTGCACAGTTACCAGCCGTCAGCTACGTAGAAAAAGATCCTGGTGTAGAAAGTAATATTAAATAAATTCTAACAACAGCTATCAAGCTTAAACGTGCTGCTGTTGTTCAGCCGCTGGTTTCCTCTTTCTGGCTGCAAAGTGGGCCAAAAACAAACAAGAGAGACGGACTCGCGACAGAAAAGCCGATCAGCTGATCATTAATCAGTTTCAGATTGAAGTAGCAGCAGAGAGGCGAGGGGGAGAAGAGGCAGTCGCTCCATATATCGGTTGTTAAGCTTAACGTGGGAATGCTTTACAAACATTCAGAGATGAACTTACACACTTGCTTTACTTCTCTCTGGGATAACTTCATCGGAGATGAAATGCTGGTTTGGTAGCGAGGCTACAAATACACACAGCCGCTCTATCACGTGATGCATACTGCTCCGACGTGCTACGGTTATGAGCCGAGTTACACCGTGTCGCAAGTTTTGTGAGGAGCTTTTTTTGATATTTAATGGATCGGATTACATTTTTTATTTCCGATCCAGTAATTTACGTCCGTATCTGACCGATACCGATACGTAATATCGGATTGGTCCATTTCTACTAATTACAAAATCCCACATGTTTAATTTCAAGCATTTCTGACAGTAGTGCAACTTCATAAACTATTTAGTATAGGACAAACAGATTCAATCTAATCAAAACTAAACAAAAACATCAACAGCCTTAGTGGTTCTGCTATAAAGCAGGTTTACTGTGAATTAAATTACTTCTAAATATAGTAGGTAGAGCAGAAAAACTGGCACCTGACTCTATACTCTTTTCAAAACATTTAATATATGTCCGATTCAACTGAACTTTATGGTTTTGCTTGAACTCCCCCCCCCTCAAACAACCCCCCCCCCCAAAAAACCCTCTTGATTCTTTGCCTGAAGAAAAGCAACAGCTTGAATATTAAAAAATCCTGTAAATGAACTGAAATGATTTTGACATCTCTGTGTTAGCAAATCAAACACAACCACATTTTTCCCCCAATTGTGTTCCACGTATCAGATCACATCATAAGAACACTGAGCTCTGATTAAAGAAAATATACACCTTTATAACAATTGTTCATGATCCCAAATGGCATATTATTAAAATAATGATGTAAAAAACAAAACAAAATGTCAAACGGGCAACTATATGCACATGCTTTCATTTCATAGTATCACACTTTGCCAGTTAGAGGGCTGCTAACATAATCTGGGTCCAGTCTGGCCACACTGTGGTGAGGAGGAAGACTCACCACTGTTGAAGGTACTCCGGAGATACAACAGGCAGTGATCCATTCAGCTTTTCTTCCATCTTTTGGGTGGTTTGACTTTATTAAATAAATCAATACGGATGTTGAAGAAACACAGCTAGGTGATGTACATGTGGTTTAACATATAAGAGTTTGGCAGTACATGAAATTGAACGCATGTGACAGCATACTTTAGTCAGGCTGTGGAGTTGTACAAGACATAAACCAAAACACAAACAAAAGATAACTTAAATGGCCGTGATACATTAAAGTAAAGTCAAATTACTAATAGCCGAATAGATTTAGTATTTATAACAGTGGATATTTTAAATAGAGCATACAGTATACACCTGCTAAAATGTTTACCCTTTTCTTCCATGGCTATGCTAACTAACAAGCTAACATGAATTAAAACGGTTATACATTTCCTGTTTTAAAACAGGTTTAGAATACGGTGCAATGAGGTAAAAGTTCGCGTTTGTGGCTATCAATTCAGATAATGATGACTATTTGTGGTAATATAAATGCTAAGATTTAATGCTATTCAGTAGCCGTGCCACAAGTACAGCTAATGTTAGCCAACGGCTAGCCGGGCAGTTAACTTAGCATGGATGAATGGCTTCGCTTCCACTAAGACTTCTCCCCATGAAATTGTAAACAATTTCTTAATATTATTACACGTAAAACATACCTGTTGAGGGCACTGATGAAACACTTCTTTTAAGGTAAGATGGTTATTATTTTTCCATATATTCACACACTTCTATTCATAACATTTGAGGTGGAACAGATGCAACAAAGACATGACAATCCTGCTACTCAACTTTGACACCGGAACATCTTAAGGGTAAGATGTAGGGATGAATAGGAAAACTGTTCGTTATTGTAATAGGGAAAAATAGCCCTATTGAATATTTTTGCACTATAAAATATTTTTTGATATTTTATTTTTATAAGCATATCGGAGAATAGTGTTTTTAATGCAAATTTGACGGTATAAATCGTTAGAAATGAAAACGACACGCCCCTATTTTCGGATTGGTATGAGCTGCTCGGTTTAAACTCCGTGAGGTTGCTGTCTATTGGTTGACATCAGTCCCTAATTTTGCAATTAGGTGCAGCATTTCTGTATTTAAATATTTTATTTACAACTAACAGTCCCACAGCTATGACAAAACAAGGAAAAATAAGAGGACAGTTTCATTGTTTTTACAGAATTAATTAGAAATGATAAGATGATTCATAACAATAAAGTAGTAACAGCTCAGCTACCACTATTGCAGCATCTTATTACATCTTACAGGTTTAAAGACTACATTGACATACATTTCTTGTTTATTATTAGTTAGTAATTATCTCCATTATTAAATTCATGCTGGATGCAAGAGTTATGCAAAAATCAGTAAATCTAGCCTGCTAAGACCTTGTTTTTAGGAGACTTGTATGCAAATTAACAGCGACTATCCCGCTTTTCAAAATGAGATTCATTATTCCCTTTAGAAGCCTAAACATTTTCACACTCAAGTGTTTTTAAAGACCAGTGCAAAATAAAAATGCAAAATTCTCACAAAATCATGAATCAGGTATTTTGATGCAAGTATTTCATTCAAGGCTTTCAATAAGCATGAGAGAAACTCTAAATAATGAAATGCTCCTGTTCTCATCAAGCTTTGAAAATATGTGTTTTAACTCAAAAATAAGCATTATTCAGTCTTTATGAATGCTTGACTGTGTTTCTTTTCCTATAGGTTATAACACATTTATAGCTTCTCATGATAACTCAAACAATCAGAGAATAGAAACACGCCAGCATTAATTTACAGATTTAATAACTCTGCACTTACACATTAGAAATTCCAGAGTATACAGTCAATAAATCAAAAAAATACAAGTCTATGAAAATACAAAATAAGTCACTGAAAACATGTTTAATAAAAATTCAATAAATAGTATTTAAAAAACAATAACACCAAAAACATGCACATGTGTGAGTGCTGTGGGGGCTTTTCTGTTTTGTGCGTGACACTATGATGTCTGGGGAACAGAGGTCTTCTTCTCTCACAGTGTTACTTCTCATCCTTGGTGAGGCTACTAGGTCAGCTGGTATTTGGTATCTGTTGAGCAAATGTCCCGAGGTGTTACACATCATTATAAGCTGATGAGCATATAATGTGGATGGGCCTTTATGTGTGGGGTTTACATGTTTTCGCCATGCTCGCATTGGGTTCTCTTATGGTACTCCAGCTTCCTTTCACAGTCCAAACACAGACAAGGGTTAGGTTGAAAGAAAACTCTTATTTGGCCCTAGGTGGGAATTTGAGCATGACAGTTTGTCTGTCTCTAGCCCTGTGATTTACTGGCGACCTGTCCGAGGTGTACCCCGCCTTTTTCGCTGTGACTGGGATAGACTCCAGCCCCCTTCCAACCCTAAATTGGATAAGCAGAAAAAAAAACAAAACAACAACCAATGGATGGATGGACACGTAAGCTACTTTTGATAGAATAAACACACAAATTAAACAATCTCAAGTTGTCAAGTTTCATGTGTTTTATGTCATTTGCTCCAAACTGTTTAATCCAGTGGTTCTCAAGCTGTGGGGCAGACCCCACTGATGGAGCACAGAGCTACTGCAGGTGGGATGTGGTTCCAGAGTAAAACCGTGAAGGGAAACTACACTGTATGAGTATTATTCTCTTTAGGTAAAAGAAACAAACAAAAGTTCACTAATGCTAATGTGCCAACCTTTATTTTACTAAAATTCACACTTGGATTTTTTTTTTCTTTTTCTGAAAGGAAGTGCCAGAAGAAGTACATAAAAATCTCCTTAGATTTTTATATAAAAGTTGTTTAGTTGTCCCATTTCATCAACTTCCGACTACATGATAACTACACTACCTGAGTGCTCCAGTAGGCAGGCTTGTTTTTTCTCCTCCCCTGAATCTCTTTTATTTCGAGGAGTTGTTGCTGTGCCTGGTTTCTTCATGCAGTGCACTACAGCTTTCATACTCTGGATCCAGCTGCTCCTCTTTGATTGCAATCCTTTTAGCATCCTCTGCAGAACAAAAACATCAGCAGGGAGTTAATGATTTATTTAAGACAAATAAATCTGTGAAAATTGAAAAGACGCACATCTTTTTAAGCAGGTCCCTTTCTGAATTTAACTGAGATAAACGGAATAGCAATCGAATGCCTCATGTTTCAGCTGTACTGTGCAGCTGTGATATTTACCTTTAGCTAGCTGCAGGTCAAAAGAGTACTCTGTCTCTTCCACCTCACGGCTCGGTGCCAGGCCTTTCATCTGGTCTCTCAGTTCCTTCAGCTTGATGTAAAAATGCACCTTATCTTGTGCACGAGGAAACTGAGCACAGCGGGGGCTCGATGACGGCATCAAGTAGCACACCTGAAAAGAACGTCAAATGCTATGAAGACTGTTGTTTGTATAGCTGAGCAGATTTATGTTGAAATCATTTCCTGTTTCCACCTACCGTTTCAGTTTCGGGAATTTTGTACGGCTGTAGTCCAAACTCAAGGTTCTTGGCCTTCACACCAAAGGTTTCTTTGCAGAAGATTTCATAAATACCTGTGAAATTTACACAAAAATACCTTCAAAAAATAAAATCAATCAGCTAGTGCTAGTATCAAAACACTTCAACAAAAATGGAAAAAAGAAAATTGTTTGCATCATTTTACCTTTTCCATTAAACGCTGCTATTAATGGCTTGTATTTTTGTAGCTTCTCAAGTAACTGTCGGCCTCCTTCACGGATCTCCTTACTAGGACCAAAAAAAAAAAGAGGACAAATTTTATTTTAAGTTACAAACTGTCTGTTTTGCATTTAGTTGTAGTCGCTTTAGTTAACTTTACCTGGAGAGATCCTTGCTGCCAGGTGTGGTCCTTTCTACCATATTGGTAAAGCCGATGCTGTATTTCTCTGGCAGGCTCTGGTCATGCATGTAGTTAAGTTGCTGGTCAGTTAGACCCGACAGAAACAGACATTTCCCTGGACAGAAAAGAGGAGCTGAGTATAAAATCAACCAAGTGGCCGTCTAGCACAACACTGGACTCAAACCAGCTTTTTTCCTCCTGATTAATCATGTTTTCCCAGTTGTTGAAGCTCTAAATTTACAGAACTGTTATCAGCAGACATTGCTACTTTTTTTGTTTTTGTTTGTTTGTTTTTTATACCATATGATCATAGCTGATCAACACTACTTTGTAAGGCAATTAAGCCTGCAGAACAAGCATGGAGCTACTTCAGGTGAGATGCTGTTCCAGAGTAAAATATATTTATTTTAAAGCAATGATCCATGTTGATATTTTACATCCTGAAGTTGAAATAAGCAACAGAAAATTTTATAGCTAATATTTCTAAGTAACTACATCTAAAAATGTCTTGATGCATGCTCAATCATCCAGGTAAGTAAACCGACAAAAGTTGATTCTGTTCATCTGGACGTAGCGTTTTCAAGTGCATCCCAGTCACGGAAGCGTTGGATGTAGTCTGTAAGAGATTACAGGATGCCCCCAACCTCAGCAACAAAACCACTCTCGGCATCGACCAAGTGTGTTTGCTTTTGGAACTTTGTCTTAATTCCACCTATTTTACATACAAGGGTCAGTTCTGGCAGAAACATGGGTGTGCCATGGGCTCCCCAGTTTCACCCATCGTGGCCAATTTGTACATGCTATCCTACCCTGGAACACCACCAAGTCATTGGTTCAGATATGTGGATGACACCTGGGTGAAAATCAAATCTCAGGATGTACCACAATTCATGGATCACATTAATTCAGTGGACCAACACATCAAATTCACCAGGGAGGATATGAAAAGTGGCAATTTTCTTCTTAGACTGTGAGACTGCATTTCGTTGCCTTGTACTTGTGACGTGTGCAATGAGAATAAAGTTGAATTCTATTCTATTCTATTTCCATCAGTAATGGGGGACATCTAAAAGCTGATGTGTACTGTAAACCTATGCACAAGGATCAGTATTTAAGGTTTGACTCTCATCATCCACTGGAGCATAAACTGGGTGTCATCAGGACACTACAACACAGAGCGAACACCATCCCCACAGACACAGCGGCCAGGGAAGCAGAAGAACATCACATCAAGAAGGCCCTGAGTAAATGTGGTTATCCCAGCTGGACATTTGTCAAAGCTGAGAAGGCACCTAAAAAAAAAAAGCTCCAGCCGATCTAGGAGAGAAGGACAACTGCTGCCTAAGCAAAAACCTGTAGTGATCTCGTACGTGTCAGGAGTATCGGAACAGCTGAGACGCATTTTTTCTAAACACCATGTCTCTGTGGCTTTTAACCCCAAAACACGCTGTGCCAAAAATTGGTCCCCCCCAAGGATCGGGTCCCCCGACACAAACAGAGTAACATAGTGTACACTGTTAAGTGCCAGGAGGATTGCCAGGATTTATACATCAGGGAAACCAAACAACCTCTGGCGAAGCGGATGGCACAACACAGAAGAGCTAACTCGTCAGGCCAGGACTCTGCAGTCTATTTACACCTACAGGCCAGTGGACACTCTTTCAATGATGAGGATGCACACATCCTGAACAGGGAGGAACGCTGGTTTGAGCGCGGAGTCAAGGAGGCCATTTACGTGAAAAGGGAAAGACCATCTCTGAATCGAGGAGGGGGCCTAAGGGTACATCTTTCGCCAATTTACAATGCTGTGATTGCAGACATTCCCCAACTCTCTGTGAATGGTACTCATGACCATTGATCACTGGTCTTTGATCACTGAGCTTTGATCAATGGTTGTTGATCAGTGGTCATGAGAATTTGCATATTAACGATCAAGGAACCAACCTCCCAGCCCATTGTTCATTCAGTGGTGCTAGTTTCAGTCATTATGCAAATGTACTTTTTATAAGATTGTTGAAACCTGCAGTCAGCTGAGACTGAAGAAGTCCCCTAGATGGGTGCTAAAACGTCTCTTTCACTGAAAACGCAACATCCAGATGAACGTCCAGAATCAACTTTTGGGGATACATCTAAAAACTTCAAGGACACTCCCTTATTCTGAAAAAATCTACCTAGCAAATCCTAATAATCTATGGGGGATACATCAGAAATAGTGTTGCATAAATGTTTTGCTGACTCTTTAAACATCAATATTCACCTTTGAAAAGCTCTTTAAAATCTGATGTATTCTGTTGCCTGCATTCAAACCTGACAAGTTACAACATTCAGCTGCATTTCATCATCATATTGGCATCTTGGCCACCTTTAAGGTCTCTTAGAACAAGCCTTAGCTATAAAACAATAGTGACAATGCGCCCAGAGTGGGTCAAACAGGGTAGAACTGAAAATGAACACTGGCTCATATTTATTATAGTCGGTAATGAAACTGAATTTAAACGTACAGAAATGGTTCCCTGGGTTTGGGTAATGATGTCCTTTGTAAGCTGACAATAGGCCTGGATTAATTCCAATCTGAGGAGAGACACAAAATAATTAAAGACCTAAAGACTGCAAGTTGGCCATGTCACAAACCTAAATCACAATTAGAACAAAAAACAAAAACACAGAACAAAACTGGAAATACAAAATAACTCACTATCAAAATGTCGAGATTGTAGGTAATCACATCTGGCAGTGTTTTAGCCATAACTTCAGCCACTGACATGCCGTTGAAGCGGTTGAGAGCCCTCTTGGCTTTTTTGGCAGCCTCAACCTCGTCGTCCTCCTCACGTGTCTCACCATCCTCCGCTTGCTGTTTCGGAGGTCGACCTCTCTTCTTCTTCACTGGTGTCACGTCTAAGAAAGTAGAGGAATTTATTGAGTACTGAATCAAAAACAAACAAATAAAAAAAAGACAATTAAAATACAGGCGATAGGATCTCAGAGAACGTATATTGAACAACCTATTGAGGAATTTTGATTTGTATGTTATGATGTCTTTTGTCTGGTTCATATGCAGCTCATTCCTTTAAACTGTAGTTAAATGTCTCCAAATTATTCTATGGGAAACAGAAGGCAAAAGTAGTTTTTTGTACAAATGGCAGCACACATATTTAAAATACATCAGATCTGAAACTTCTTGGGAAGAACTACTGTGATTGTAGCATCTTCCATTACCTTTAGGTGGACCTGAAGGCTGGTGCTGAATACTTGGCCCGTGCTGCTGTGTATGCTGTGTGTGTTGAGCATGCTGTATGTGTTGTGTATGTTGATGCCGTGGGTGGTGCAGGAGTGCAAGATCTGGGTGCTGCTGGTGCTCTCTGATGTTCTGCTGAGACACCTGCTCCGGGTAATGATTTGGGGCTGGAAGGTAGTTCGTGTAAAAAGGTTCCTGATAAAAATTTGGATCCCGGTGAACAGATAGCTCGGCCATGACAGGCTCATCCACGGGACCTTCAGTGTAATGGTCCATGCTGGGATAGGGTGCCACATGCTGTACCTCAGGGTACTGCTGGCTGGACTGGTACCTAGTAGAGATGAGGGCGTGAAGAAGTTAAGCAAAAAAAGAAAAGAAAAAAAAAAAGGACATGAAACAGGATCCAGGTACATCAGGAAAATGTGGTGTGTGTGGAGAAGTGGGTGAATAAAACTTAAACACAGGACACAATACTTGCAAAAACACATGCGCTGACATCCACTAGTTCATATTTTCTGCATTTCATTTACTGTTTTTTTTTATGTAAAACAGGCACCCCAATTATTGTTCATTGCTTTTATCTAGTTTACTGATCATTTCTGATGATGCAACCTACACAACTAACATTTTTGCACCTCTAATTGTGTATTTTTACAATAATCACAAGATTGACCAGAATGGAATGAAGATACTTTTGCAGAATATGACGATACAAAGACAAACAGAGGCCAAATATGTAAACTATTCATTTTAACCTTGCGTGAACTGACGTGACTCTCTACAGGTGACAAAGTTTACAAGTGCAGTTAAAAAAAGGCCTGTAGCAAACAAAGGTGTAATAAATGCTGGATAATGCGCTGGTATGTTAAAAATGTAAGAAAAAATATTTTAAATTAGTCAGACAAACATAACAGAATATATCAAGATATTCAGATTGTACAAGTATTGTTTTTCTTTTGCATGCCTAAATTTAAATCCAGAGTATTTCTGTTTCATATTATTCCTACATAATTACCCCTACTTCCCTTTAATCAAGAATCATGGATTACGGTAGTCAATTATCCTTCACAATTACACTTATCAGTTGCTACAATCCTAAATATAAAGTATACAAATGTGTAGGCTATGATGTCGAGTGTCAAATGACATTTATTTTCCTCCATCATGCATGAAAATGAAAACGAGTCGAGGAGATAACATGACAAGTTTCCCCAGACCTCCTGCCACCTCCAACACCAACTCACCACTGCTGAAAATAATCCGAGGGAACCGTCAGTGAAGTAAACTGGTTTTCTTCCATCTTAACTGTTGACTTATTTGAATACATTAACATTTATTCTGCTGCCAAACTCATGGATAAACATGAGAAATGTAAGCGGTAAAGCGCACACAGTAGCTTGTTGGCACAAAGGCAGATGCTACAGGAAGGTTTAGCTAACAGCAAACTGACGAGATTTCGAAGTTCTACAGTTGTTTTAAAAACGCAATTTAATATTAACAAACATAAATGTAAATGGGTAAAGTAACATACCTGTCATACATTTCTTTAGCTTTCAAATAAGGAAATAGGGACTGGGAGTCTTCCCAAAACAAAGACCATTTAAACGCTCAACATTTCGATTTGATCCGGTTGGCTGAAATGCTTACCGCCGCCTTGTGGTCACTGTGCGTACTGCAGGGATCGGATTTCGACGAGTATTTTAAATGCATCGGTGACGTCATATAATCGATAGAAAACTAAGAAGAACATTGCAGATCATTTAGAACTGTATTCGTGAAATCTGACACATAACACTTATTATAGAGCCTTGTACTAAAACTTTGCGAGATAACGCAAGCTACCGCTAAGCGGCGACAGACGGCACTTATCGCCGTGTATCAATACGAGTTTATGGTGTAGAAGAGTACTGCAACCGAAGATGGTTTATTTCCGGAAAGCTCATTACTTCTCCATAAAATCAGAGGCGGATTTATCGTACAATTGAGAGGAAATAAGAGTCCACGGAAAAAAAGACAGAGTGAGGACTCTCTATCAAAGAATTTCCAGTAGTTAGATAAACGTCACGATCTGCTTCTGGTCCTCAATGACAGACACTTGACTTTAAGCTAGTAAGAATGAGCTTTAGACTGTGGACATTTACTTATTTGTGACGGGAACAATTAAGTTAAGGTTTTAAAGTGTAGTTCTGTGTTAACAGTCTCCGTGTTTGGATGTTTTTAAACAGCGTGTTTTATGGCTAATCAGTAGCATCATGTGAATGGATAGCGGCTGTGGATGTGTGAATTATTCATATACAGTGCATCTGTACAATATGTGCAGTCTGCCATACATTTGTAATATGAAAAGGGATACTTTAGCTACATGGTAGTACTTTGACAGTGCTGCATGCACAGCGTCCCGGCGTTGTATTGAGTTTTTAAACATCTTCAACTAAATGGCAGTGGTGCTAATTTTAGTAGACAGCTATAGTTTTATTTAAGAAGAAAAGGGGATGCTTATATTTTTAGCACCAGATTGAAAAGGAGAGCTGAAAATGTATTGTTTATCTATACTAATTTCTATCTCTTCATATATTGTGTGCTGTTTTTGACCAGTGTTTTGAACCTGGTCACTTATCTTTTCCTCCAGGTTGAGTCAGATCAGTCTGTGAAGATGCCAGCTGGGGTGTCTTGGGCTCGGTACATCCGGATGTTAGGAGCCAGTGTTTTGGCCATGTTTGCAGGAGCACAGGCTGTCCATCAATACTACCTGCCTGATCTGGTGAGGGACAAAATTAAGCCTTAGGTATCAACAAAAGTAAACAAAGGCCAAAACTGGAAGCTTCTATTTGCCAAATCGACCCAGGATTGTACTATACTGTCTAGTATGGGAAAACATTGTCAAACATTGGCCTGGTCGAACAAAGACTTCAGTCTATCCCATGCAGAGACCTTCATCAAGGATGCCAAGATTTAGGTTTTCTGGTCACCAGAAAAGTGAAGCCAAAATTCAGGGAGTTGTTTTCTTTGGTCCTGAAATCCCTGAACTGGTGCATGACGATGAGTTCAAAAAGAAAGTGAGTAAGCAGCATGGGAAGCATTTGTGCAGGCTAACAGAGTTTTTTACATTCTCATCTCTCCTTTTTATCTGGAAATCTTGATGATGTCAGCAATGAACACGGGAAATGATTTTGTAGAAATATCAAAGTAAAAGAAAACCAATAGCAGCGAAAATTTAATCTGAGCATAAACTGCTTGTTCTTGCAGAGAGAGACGGGTGTGCGGTCCAAGCGTATAAGCAAGTGCCTTAAACCTTTTTGGAGCACACAGACTTCTTTTTATTTGGAATTTAATTAAAAGAAATTAACAGAAATAATCTTTAAAACAATTTTGGTGGTACATTCTTTAAATTCCAGATGTTTTATTATTATATTACACTGATATTGAAAAGTTTCAGAATGTCAGTGACGTGTATCTCAGAAATCTGATCAGTAAGCTTATATCGGATCGATAAAGAGCTGACGTTGTGAAGTTATAAGTAGCAAACAAAAAATATTTTTTGTAGAGCAGTGTTATGACCAGTTTTACAGCCTCCTTACTGACAAAGACATTACCATTGGCCCACCATACTATATGAAAGTACATCTTTATTGTTTCCTTTGATTTCAGACTGCAGTCTTTCTTTGTATTGATGTTGCCTTAATGTGGGAAAAAAACATAATGTTGAAATAGCACTTATTTTTAAATACATCTCAGTATGCTCATCTACAGTGGTTTATTAAATGTGAATATTTTTAAAATGTATTTATATGTTCTAAATGAAAAAAAAATCACATCAAAAATGGCATCACTGCCAACCCAGACACCTCAAGCTGCTGTCACTGTTTCTCAGCTGGAAGTATGTTGATGTCCGATTCTTTGGTTAGAGTTGACATATTATGCAGGGAAATTGTGGTTGGAATTTGTGAGCAGTTTATTCACAGATGCATCCAACCAATGAGCTTTCACCTGTCAGGCTGAGTTAAACGTGCTTGCTGTTCTCTTTCAGAGTATACCAGACGTCCCACCAAAGCCTGGTGAGCTTCGAACGGAGCTGCAGGGCTACAAAGTCAGAGAAGAAGCCTTAAAGAAGGTTAAATCTGAACAAGATACCGGCTGATGTGGATCTACATCCTCTGTGTGACAGACACTGAAAGAAGCAGATAGCACTAGCCCCACTATGTCATGTGTGGGATGTCTGCACATAAATATCTTCTGTGTTTTCTTCTAATGGGACAAACAGGAGAAGAATAAAGTACCATATCATTGGTTATCAGGGATCTTAAGGATCTTATCCGGATTATCTCCCCCCCGGCTGTTATTGCATTTCTTCTTCCTTCTTGAATGTGTTTGCATTGTTAAAGTGCAAAATACTCTGAGGTTTTAATCATGAAAACATATAGCGGGAGTTGGAGTCATGAAAGAGTTTATGGCCTCCACCATGGAGATAAAAATGTTTTCAATAAAAAAAAAAACATCAAACAAGAATTTTGGCAGCACTTTGTGGTACATGAGAGTGATTTAAACTGAAATGCATACAATTTCCTTTTTTGGAACAAAAAAATTTAATAGATATTCTTTTGGGCGGGGGAGTTGTTCCACTCATTGGATGACAGCATGAGACTTATGATTTTTAATGTTGACTGTAATTGGTTAGGGAGGGAGATATGAAGTGTTCTTAGTATAGTGTGGCATGCAATGCATTCATTTGATCACATTTTTTGTTGTATTCAAGCTTGAAGTGCTTTTCATCAAAATAGCTTTTGACAGTCCTTTTTTTTAAGATCACAAGTCTAAACTCCTACATGTTGGCAGGCGTAAAGTTTAAGTTAAGGTTAAATAACAATGGAAATAATGCCTTTCAATTGATAAGTGCCACAGAGAAGTAGAGTGTCAAATTATTTTTTACAAAGGAGTACATAAGTAAAGTAATAAGACCCCAACACTGATTGTTTGAGGGAGCTCCTATCTATCAATACAAACTGACATTATAACTGAGAGGGTTACACATAAGCCAAGATGGTGTTATAATTTCCAGAGGAGAAAGGTTTTTTTAAAAACTTTAATTTGGGCCTAGCTTTTACACATTTATTAATCATGTTCAGTTGATAGTTATATAAATGCTGTTTAAATGGCTTTACCATGCAAGTATTGTAGATAATGCTTCAGGCAGCATATTTGATGGGAAGACTGGCTTCCGATCAAATATTATTGCCCTGCTTCTCTTCTGACCAGTTCATAAGCAAGTAAGGTTTATTTATGTAGCACTTTCCAAGAACAAACTTCACAATAAAGTACTTTACAAAGTGGTAAAAACCTGGTGGTCACAACAAAAGCCCAGTCACCAGTACTTGTATTGCTCAGCACTGTTGGATAAGAATATGGCTAAGACAGAAGGAATGTAACTTAGTACGTTTACTCAAGTACTTTACTGAAAAACAGTACTTTATTTACGTATTTCTGTGTTGTGCTACTTTCTGCTTCTGCTCCGCTATATGGATGCAGATGTCGTGCTTTGTACTCCATGCCGTACGTTTTTAAACTGTAGGTTCGATAGTTTATAGACAGATCATTTCTTCCCTGTTCATGGTTTCGGTGTGCCAACCCAGTGAAAACATCCTGGACACAGCCCTGACCCCGACCTGCGTATCATAGCAACAGGTTCAAACAAAAGGGGAAAAGATGGCGGCGCGGAGGGAGGAAGACGCAGCTGTTTATCTGGAGAAACACAAACTCATCGAGCTTATGGACAACCTGACTAGCATGCTCTTCTTTTACAGACCCGGTTAGAGCTTATTTGGTCTTTTCTTATACAGACACTGCATCCGGTTGTGCTAAAAACAAAAAGCTACTGCAAAAGCTGGAAAGTTAGCTCATATGTGCTTACTGGGAAACTAAAGGACTAAAACACCTGTTTGTTTACCCAGAACAGTTTTTGAGCAGGGGATTATAATGAACTGAAATCCAGCTGTAAAATATTGCAGACATAGCCTTTGTTGCACTACAGACTTATTTTGTGCTAGATAAAATATTAATTGGTTAACTGCTCTTTCTCTTGAGAGAAATGTCTGTTTTGTGTTACTCTAACATGGTACTAACATTTTGCTTTTAATTTTCATCACCATATGTCCACCATGATTGTTTTATTTTACATTGTTTCTTGTGTATTTTTTCAGAGAAACCCAGGGAGTTTCTTATTGAAAAACTGGAGCAGCTAAAGCTGTCTCAACAGAGTGGTGTGATTGGGCCAAATCTGTTCGATGACTCTAACCTGGATGTAGTCTTTAGGATTATGGACCCTGATAATAAACAATACATCTCTTTTGTCCAGTACAAACAAGGTGAGTGCTGAACTACAGGGACAGGAAGAGACACCTTAAATACTTGGGATGGAGCTGAATGAGACGTAAAATGAAGGAATCAACAATGAAGCACTGTTGCTTTATAACCTAAAGACACTGGGTTCAAATCTAGTCTGGGGCCTTTCTGTGACGAGTTTGAACGTCCTCCCCTTATTGTTTCTCTTCACAGACCTCAAAATTATGTAGCAAATGTATTCATTCTTTATATAGCAAAATGTTATTGTAATAATAATAACCATTCATCCCCACAGCTTTGACAATGATGGGCATAAAAGACATCAATGAATGTCCCGATGGTGTAAATGAAGATCGGATATCCCATGAGACGTTCAAAACAGAAGCGTAAGTAGAGCTTAGCAGTGGTACAAACACAGTGTTTACCAGAATTTTAATACTCAGCGTTTTGCGAGGGCGATTGTTAACTTATTTTTCTGTTACAGGACACAAGGTCTGGAGAGGTGCTCAGCAACTTATGTACAGCTGTGAAGTGTTGAAGCTACTGCCCAGCCCAGCTTTGAACTGTTTAGTTTGAAATGTTAAAATGTGTATCTTTATCTACCAATAAATTCAAACCAAAAAAGGCACAGCATTAATGGTTTGTCTTTGCCTTTGTTTGTAGTCAATACAGCCTGTTGAAATGACCTCTGTCTGTCATTATCCACATCTATGTTCATGTTTAACATTATATTCACGATCGTTAGTACTTCTGCTAGCACTAGAACCGCAGTAAAACAGTTTTTGTGGAATAACGACTGTATTTATTGCAGTTTGACTGCTTTCCCTTTATCCGTCGTGGTTGTCTTGAACGCGCACTGGTAGAAGGCGTGGTCAGGAAGTGACATGTCCGCGTCCTTATACGGAGGACCCTCGCCTTTCTCCGGTGACTTGTAGGTTAAATTAGTTTATCTTTTTCGTCTCAAAGTTTCGTCAGTTTTTGCTGGGACAGCGCCCTGCGGAGCTCAGCATGGGTACCGTCCATGCCAGGGTAAGCAAAACTCCGCTAAACGTGCGAGCTGGGACTTTGACCTCCGTGTCTGTGTTTAAGTGAGTTATCTGACAGAGCGGCTGCTGGAGTGAGAGGCCCTCTGCACTGTAATTCAACAAGATACAAACAAGGCTCAGGCATTCAGCTCACTGTACAGAGACTGGATTCATTCAGGCCACAAGTTGTAGTTTTTTATTAACCACGGTAAAATGCTAAGAAGCTATTCCAACTGTGTGTTTTAGACTCATAGCATGCTAGTGGTGTCTTTCCTTTTGCTGCAGTTTGAAAGGCTTTGGTGTGCTTAATGAACTTAAGTGAGGGTTGTTTTTCCCCCCCCACTGCTGTACTTATTATGTTTATGTATTTATCTAGTACAGGGCTGCGGGTATGGGTTTATTAATAAATGGGTCATATGTGAATAGGATAACGAGTGTCTCACATGTTTTATCGACGATACCATATCTTTAAAACTGAGCCAGATAGATGCAGTTTACTGACTTGCTTTAATAAGTAATAACAACAACAAAACTGTAAAAAAATTTTTACAGTTTTGGTTGTAAGTAGTTTAAATATTTGTTTTGATTTTTTTCATCTGAATTTTGGAAATGATGGAGAACGTTTTTTTAATTTAAAAATTAAAAAAAAAAGTAAATTATTGTAATTCCCGTTATGAAACCTTAACCTTTTAGAAGTATTTCCACAGACCTGACCTCAATGTCCCCAACAGTATATAGAGCCCCAAGCCTGAATCACCCTGTAAAAATAAAATAGATTCTATGCACATATTCACATATATGCACAATTAATTTCAAAGTCATTTTTGTTTGTTCAGTAAAACACTCTGTGAAGTAATTATATATCCAATTATCCAATATATCCATTTTACTATGTCCTGCAGAGCCTAGACCCTCTGCCCATGCATGGGCCAGAGTTAGGAGTTCAAGCTGACGACATTGATGCTCCGGAGATGGACCAAGAGCCGAAACAAGAAGTTCTTGAAAATAAAGATGTAAGGTTTATTCTGTGCCAGATTGTAAATGGGACGTACTCTGATTACCACTGTCACATTGCAATACCCATCTTTACACTATAATTACACTCTGCTTGATAACTCTTAAAAAAG